CCCCTCACCGAGGGAAGGGGGGAGGGTCCGAGAATGTTTGCGGTTATATGGACACATGCACTCGAAAGTTTGCCACACGGGCAGTAGAGTAGTAGAGTCCTCCAAAGCTTTTATTGTTGTGCGGCGGTGGCGAGCGTTGTGATGGCCAGCGTGGCGCACCCATCACGTCCTCCACGCTTGTTGTTCCTCTCGCAAAGTGACTCGTCGCACGCTCGCTCCGGGTGCAGGAGCACCGCCGCCTTGGCGGCGGCCTTGGAGGCCTTGGCGGCGCGCCCGCGCCATAGCGCCAGGGCCCCCGTGTCTGCGGCGCGCTCTTTGTGCAGCAGGGCGTCGTCGTCTTGCACCGCGAGGCAGGGAGGCCGGCGGCGCGCGGCGGCCGCCGCAGGTGAGGAGCAGGGAAGACCGCCGCCGCCGCCGCGCGTGAGAAAGCGGAGGTTTCGGAGAGGCAGCTTTTCATTAATTGTATGCTGCTGGGCGGCTCGCCGAGGACGTCGGCGGCGTGCGCATGACGCAAGTCGCGCTGGACACTCCGCGACCGCGCATGCATGCACATGAGTCGCGGGGCAGCAACAGCCGAGCACTTGGCCGCGCGCGGCTGCGGCCTGCGGCATGTGCCCGCCCCGCCGCCCGTCTCAGTCTCGCTTGGCCGGTCCAACATGTAGAGCGAGCGAGAGCTCTCCTCTGTCCGGGCCCGCGGCCGCGAGGGGGCGGGGGCACGGTGGGGCGCCCCCCCAACCACGCCAAATGCTTTCCGCGTGACTCCTCTCTCTGCGGCACGCCGCGCGCGGAGCCGCGGAGGCCCTGTGGTCCGAATAGGGAGTCCGGCGCGGCGGCCGCGGGGGGAGCGGCCAATAATGCGGCCGAGCAGCCGATTGGCACCATCACCATACACGGCTCCGAGCTATCGCCATCGGCAGCTGCTGAGTGGCCGCGCCGCCCGCCGATCCATCTGATTTGGCCGAAAAATCCCGCGCGGGCCGAACGGGCGCGCGCGCGCTCGCACGTGGTATCGGATCGGGCCTGCCCCAACGAGCGAGCGGCCCGCGGCCCCCGACCAACACTTCGCGGCGGCTTCCCATATCTGGGGAACATGGTGTCGGTCTGGTTGGACGGTCTTGCTTGCGGTGTAGTTGGTAGGGTGCGAAAGGGGTGGCCACGGGTTGCAAATGAAAGCCCGTACTCGCGCGGACCCGTAGCACCCCAGCAGCGACCCGTAAAAGCCGATAACTAAACGGAAACCTTCACAAATGCCGCGTCGCCGAGGCTTTCCACCGAAAGGTTGTGAATCAAATCGATCCCCGGCGGTCAGCGGCCTCCTCGCCCCCGCCGCGGCGTCCTCTCGTCTTTTATGGACAGACAGGCGGCTGGGCTGGAGCCACGCCCCCCGCCCACGCGCCTCCCTCGGCTGTCGGCTGGCTGCTTGGGCCGGCGACGAAAGTAAACAGCCATGGGGCTCGAGGGGCTGGCTTTAGGCTTTACTTAGACATATTTGTGCCAGAAATAGGCGGAGCCGATACGGGCTTTCCGCGGGCCAGGCCACTGCGCCAAAGAAAGAACTTGGCTTACGCCCCCCCTCCCCCAATCCATTTCCGCAAGGCACACTGATAACTCGTATCACCAGCCGAAGGCAGAAGAAGGTCGGTTGCGCTGGTCCATTTCTGGTAGTGGATGCTTGACGGCCCGATCAGCTATCGGCTCTACCCATGGCTCTACTATGTGAGGTGAGATGGCAAGATGTTGTTATAGGGGCAATTCCAAGAGAAAAAGTCAAAAATGTCCGTCCGTCACGCGATTAGTGCGCGACTGAGAGGCGCTACGTTGTTTTACAATTTACAATACATGTCCCCATCTCAAGACGCGTCTCGTCAGTCGCTCAGAAATCACGTGACGTGCGAATACGAACACCCCTTCCTGAAATTGCCCATAGCTCCAGAATCCTGACCTCAATCAGTCAGTCACCACACTCAAAGTTACAGCATAGATTATTTATTTGGCAAAAGAAAAGTGAAAATTTTAAGACAGTAAAAGAAGATTAATTGGATATTATGAGAACATTGAATGGAAAAAGTGAAAATTATATAGACACAGATGTCTGAAGCAATGATGTGATAATGGGCAATCACTTCTTTCTGAGATCAAATTAGCAACTGTTTCTTTAAAGGCTTGTATGGAATGTGACATTTAAATGCTCTACATATTTGTCAGCCGTACAGTTGGTCATTAAAATCCTAGGACCAAACCATAATTAACATTACTTGATAAACTATGACAATACAAAAGTCAGATGCCAATCATACTCAGGATAGATCTCCTTAGCACACTTATTATTCCCTAGGTGATAATAAAAATACAGAACATACACTTTTCAGCTGCATTTGCAATGTTAGACATTGACAGCATATGGTGATTACAAGCAGTTTGAAGTCTAGTTGAACTCCAAAGCTAGACTCCCAAAATAAATAAGTCCCCCCTTAAATGAAGTCACTTTCGTGTTTGCAGCACCAAAAGAACGGCAATAGTGACAGGCAGTCAAGTATAACAACAGTACAAAACAATATCCAGATACCAGCAACAAATACATAAAATACTTCTTAAATCTTATCTAGTTTCCACTAGTTACATGTTTTAAAACCTAATGACTACCTGTATATTGAGTTAGGTTGACAAAGCTGACAACAATGCAGTAGTTGTTTTCAAAACTGTTGAACATGTTACATCATCAAAATCAAGACAATAGTTGACTAGAATGCTGAAGAAAGCCTAAAAGTTTGCTTAAGTTCCCTCATTACGCACACATCCAAGTTGTCCTGATTTATGTTTACAAACAAGAGGCGAATGTTCTCTAAAAAGTCTGAAGTAGAAACTTTTTTCCAAAGAATAACTAAGGTAGCTACAAATAGTTACTACCTAGCATGATATCTCTTAAAATTGTGTCTTCACATTTTTACAAAAAACTGAAATATTACCTAAAACACTGCCAATCACTCCTGCCTTTCCAGAACCCATTAGCTGCAAACAGTTTAGGGACAATCCAAGATTAGATTAGATGTGATGAGACCAACAACCAGTTACATTGATACCCTGTTTAATAGATACAAGCAATTCGCAAGTAAATCTAGTGTTAAGTATGAGAGAAAAAAAAGTAGAATTACAGCATTATTAGATTGCAAATAAGACCGTATTAATTCAATCTAAAACCAAATCATTCCTAGTAAATTATTTGCTTTCAATATGTATGTGATGTTAAAAAGGAGAAGTATTTCAAGTTTATTTAAAAATTCCAACATGGAAACTAAAAATTAAATCAGTTTTGCTTACCATAATAGAAATATATTTGGTGAAGCCCTTTTTTTAGCTATTTAAATTACCATCCACATGTACATCAGTTTGGTAGGAGGATGCTAAGCTACTACACTTTGATTCTTCCATATGGGTACATCACACATGAGCCAACTGAGATGGGCGATAGAAACTAAGCTGTTCAAAACACAAGTAGATAAATGGACAAGAAGGCACCAATAGTCTTAGAAAAAATTATGGCATAGATCATGACCCATGATCAACAAAGTCTAGCATCATCTCAATTCTCTTTTTAGCCTGTTTCTGATCATCTAAAGTACAACCTACAATAGCAGCACCAAAATGTTCATCTGGAGGCACACCAACTGTTTGATTTGAGCAGCATGCATTCATGTAAGACATAACTCTCTGTCTTGAATGACTGGGGCTTCTTTTAACATCTTTCTCCAGGTCACTCAACAAGTTATTTACCTAAAAGATAAATTTGAAAAATGAATTTTTATTGTGACTAGTTGAAAACAAAACCCAATGTTCAGAGGTTCAGAGAGTTTACCTCACGGCTGGCAGCAGTTTGAGCTGGATCTCTAGTCATCAGATTTATTGATACTTGAACTGTTTCTGACAGTCTGTACGCTCTATTAAGATTGCACAGGGCATCATCTCTTTGGGCTACAAATGCAAAAAAACATGACAGTTCAGTGACAAAAACAATAACAAAATTATGAGGGCCGAATTACTGATGGCATTCATTCACAAGATTTGTTAACATACCTTCTGAAAGAGATGAAACCTTGCCTGATTTGATCAAGTCTTGAAGCGTCTCAATGCTTTGGCGAATTTTTGCTTTATCTTCCTCTAGACGCTTTGCATCACTGCGGAGTTTATCCGCTAAATCTGTGACAAGATCTACTGCTATTTCCATCTTCTTGGAGTAGGTTAGGACCAGATGGCAACCTGTCCAAAAAAGGTTATGCAATGAAAAAGAAAAACCAAGAAGTCTATCAAAATAGTATGATCGAGAACGGATGAGAATACGGGCAGGTATCAGGTTCACTTCAGGAAGTTTAAGTCTAGGGACTAGTGAAGGTATGATGACATGTAACGGTTAGTGACAAAAAATAGCAAATATAAGGTTGCTGCACCTCTCAACTATTCCTCCGTAAGTCAACCCTTCTGTAAATACGTCACCCTTTCTTTTTCATTCATGACCCAGCGACCAATCGACCTTTGAAAGTCGATTGCTTTGCAATGCTGCCAACTTATTTTCCTAAACTCACGTAACAAAATGTATTGTTTACTCAAACATTTTTTTTTAAATACAAACAATGAATCCTATTTGGGTTAAAAATTTTAAATGAAATAACTTCAAACCTTCTAAATGTAAACTTCACATTTTTGAAATGTTACTACGTAAATTTTTATGTTGAGACATTCTATTTTGAGGAATTTTTCATACTTTCGAGAGCCGTCTGCTACCCGCTGCCCTTGTACTGCGAGGTTTACTGCAAGCAGCAAAGGTTTTAGCGATCGATAATGACAGCATTTACGATTTGTGTGAGACGCTTACATTTGACGATGGACACGGCTTAACCAAACCTCCTTCTTCTTGTTAGTCATTCAAACAACAAACGTAACATGCCGTAATGACTCGAAAGTCAGTCAAGTTCCCTTCCGGATTTCGACGAGGCCCATGGAAATCGAATTTGGTGAAACGCGATAGCGATGACAAAAACACCACCAACAGAATTTTGATTAGTGATTCTTGTGCTGAGCGTTGGTCAAGTCTTAAGCTTAAATTTCATTTCAAAACCGATTCTGAGTTGGTTGACTACTTACTGACACTTGGTGAAGCCCAGCCCCCCAAACCTAGGTATGTAAATATTGGCAGAAATATGAGAACATTTCTGTTTACGCTTTCAGTTTTTATCTCTAATTTTTGCTTTTTATGTGTAAGAGAATTGGAATAATTTTTCACCATTTATCGTGGATTTTCTACAGCCTCTCCCCTGAACATGATTCTGATAATGGATGGAGCTCATCCCAGCACACTAGAAGAAAGAAACGGGGCCCATCCTTAAGAGCTGTTTTGCGCCGAAGCACCCGTACATCTGGCTCAAAATCTGACCTTTTATCTGAGTCAGTTGAAAGTGATGAGTATCAGTCAGATGAAAATAACGATTCGGAGGAAGATGGCAGAAGGCGAGCAAAATTTGATGTTAGTGGCTCAAGGCTCCCAAAATATGATGATTGTCTTGACATTCTTTCAAAGAAGAGATTGGACCCACCTGTAGGGTCAAACAAATCTTCCAATAGTGATGAGGAAAAAGAAGCCAAAGCAAACCAACTTGATGCAGAGTTGGCACTATTAGTGAAAACTGTTGATCTGCGACCTCATACAGCCAATGAAAATGAACTTTACGAATTTACGGATGATACTCAACCAGAAATTGGCTTATCTTGCCCAGTGCCTACTTCAGAAAATGAGCATTGCTCTTTAAAAGTTGGTCACAAACGGTGGAAGTCCTACCATAAAGACAAAAGGAAATGGAGACAATCGTATGCTGCAATTGTGTCAGACGAAGATCAACACAATAAAATGAAACACAAAGAAGAAGGACCTGACAAGGAAAAGCGAATATTTAAAGCGCTGAAAAAAAATCGTATACTGACAGCATATTTAGATTCTGAAAACAAAATTCATGATAGTACTTCTAAAGATTCTCCAAGAGCAGAGGACGAGACATGGATAAAGGAGCAAGATGAAAAGCTTGTCATGGAGTCAGTAATAGCACCAGTCATTGTGAAGAAGGGAGCGGACATTGATAGTGTTGACAGTGATGATACTAATACAAAAAACAAAGAAGATATGGCTGACTCGCTAACGATGGAAAAAAGTGAAGTTTCCAGTGGCAAAGAAAATAAAGGGAAAACTGTACCAAATACAGAACCAGTTTTTATTGAAGTTGGAGAAAGGGTCAAATTGAAGAGGAGGAGAAGAAAACTACTTCAAGATTCTGATGATTCATCTGTTAATCAGAAGGAAGATGTAGCAAGCTCCAGTGATTGGAATGATACAGAGGCAAATGAACAGAAGCCAAAGAGAAATTGGAAGTAAGTCTGTAGTATTTACTTATCACTTGCATTTATTTGTGTTTCCTTTACTAAAGTTCTAATTCCACTCCCACCCCCCAGGAAATCTATAATTAATAATGAATTAGAAGAAATTGAATCTCATGTAAAAAAGAAAAAATCGTCAATAAGTTCCTCATCCAATGACATGCCTTCTAAAGCAACCTGTGAACCGGGATTAAGCAACTCTACAGCAGATAAAAATGAAAAACACAACACTGAAACTGGAAAATTTATTAAACTAAGTAAGACTGAATCTTCTTATTCAGAAAATGAAGAAAGTTGTAAGCAAACCCATTTAACTCAAGCCAAGCAGTGTTCACTGTGCTTTCTGAGACATGTACAAGATCCCTGTCCAGTGCAAAATCCACTCCAGGTGTGAAATTGAAGTACACAATTTTATCTATCTTCACATAATCCCATGTATTTGATAGAAATATCTTACTTCAAGTTTCATATTTTTTGCAGATTGTTGATGACTTAATTACTTTTGAGCAGTGGCAATTGCAATGCCAAGTGCAAGTACGCTGTTCTGTGATTGAGCCGCCACGACCAAAGTTAGGTCGACTGAAGAAATGCACTCCTGAATCACCTAACCCAAATGATCTGCAGAAGAAAAATAAGTAGGTTTTTAAAGCCTGAGTTCAGAACATTCTTTTATGCACTTCAGCTTTTATTTATTTCTTGCCACAATTATCTATCTTTTATAGGGAAATTGAAACAACAAACAATGATATAAATACACGTCACTATGCTGATGAGTCTCTACCTGTTAAATTAGATTTTAAGGTAGTAGATGAAGATCATGGGAAAAGTGTAATTGCTCATTCACACATTGCACAGTACACTCGATTTGGTCCTCTTATTGGTCCATGTGTACATGAAAAGGATATATCAGATGAATCAGATATGAGACATATTTGGGAGGTATGTCCTCTTTCCCTACCTCCCTCTCGCTCTTTCTCTCTCTCTCTATCTGTCACTCAATCATCAATTAAGTGTACTTTTAAGGTTTTCTTACTACTCATCCTTCCTTCCTCTTAGATTTTAGATGGAAAACATCCATTCTACTTAAATACAGAAGATCCCCAGAAATCCAATTGGTTGAGATATATGAGACCTGCACCTGAGAGAGATGACCGTAATATTACACTTATTGTTCAGGACAAACAACTGTACTTTGTTTCGGTTGCTGAAATACCAGAAGGGGGTGAACTGTTGTATTGGGCGGATGATCACATTTCATCATGGTCAAAGAAAAAAATCTTAAAGTCAAGTAAGCATTGGCCATGTGTATTTATTTTTATTAATTTATTAAATTATTTATTTACTAGTAGCATGCAATGTATTGCATTTTTGGCTGAGTTAGTCATTGCTCATTTCATTCATCACAGGTTGGCAGCAACCTGTTTCACAAACTTTTCAAAACTGAAACTAGGCTTTGTTGTATAGTACAAAACTTTTTAGTATAATTTGAGCTCAGACAATTATTGTATAATACCTATTGTAATGATTAGGGATCACCCAGAAAGTACCGGGTGTTACTGTGAATGCGCAGCAGTGTTGCGGGATTGCATACCCACCAGGGCTGCCGGGGCCATGTCGCCTTACGGGCGAATTGGGTCGGCAAACCCGCAACACTGCTGCGCATTCACAGTTACATCCGGTACGTCCGTCGTTCGTGGTTACGAAACGGCCAGGCTTAGCCGCCTAGCTCTCATAGCGCCTGGTAGGTAGGCATAATCTTGCCTACCGTGCATGCTTGTACTGCGGGGTGGCCTACCCCGAGTCTCGCAGGCGCCGTGCTCCCTGAATTTGCCGAACAAATCAGAGAAAAACGGACGTACTTTCTGGACGATCCCTCATTAGCCCAATAATAATTATTAAATTATGTCTTTTGTAGGTTGCGGAGGCTGCAACATGCGCTTTGCCCATCCTCTCTACTACAGAACACATTGTGCTGTTTTCCATGATCCATTGCACAGCCTAACCATAAGAAAGTATCACTGCAAAGTATGTGGAGAGGCAATAATGGGGAAGGAAAATATTATGAAGCATGCAGCAGATTTGCATGAGGGCCGTGGTGCATATCAATGCCAGTATTGTCACAAGGTATCTATCCATAATTTTCTTTTCCCTTTAGTGTTTAAAAGTTAAAAAGATATCTAATCATGGACCATCCCTTTTCCCCTAGTTTTTCTTGAGACTAAATTATTTAGAGATGCACCGGACTTATGGATGCTCCTCCAATCCTCACCGAACTAGACCTTTGTGTGATTTTTGTGGAAGGTACTTTTGTCAACCACAAAAACTAAAGGTGCACATAAAACGAATGCATAGTGATATGAATGAAGTATTAAGGGAGTTCCAGTGCAAGAGCTGCCTAAAGCTTTTAGGGTCACGTGCTGCCCTTCAGAGACACTTTAAAGAAGTCCATCATAGAGATGTTGTAGTGGCATCTAATAATTGTGATCGCTGTGGAAAGTCATTTCAAAACCGTAGCAATTTGAAGATCCATATGCTGACACATTCAGGTGTCAAACCTTTCAGGTATGTTACATTCATGATTGCATTGAAAATGCTCAAAATCACATGTATTTATTAAGAAATGTTCTACAATTGTAACTTTCTTTTTACTTTGGTTTCTTCTTTCAAATTTACTAGATGCCAGCAAGATGGTTGTTCAGCAGCTTTCACAACCAAACAATGCTTACAGTTCCACTACAAGAAAGCTCATGGATTATCTGAAGGTGCATTACCTCGTATTGAACGCTCAATTGCTTACACATTTGATGCTTATGCTGGTGAGACAGCTGATGGCATTGGGGAGGAAGAGAAAGATCTCATTGAAAGACCACAGAGAGTGCTTCGCAAAAATCGTAAATCTTCTTCTAAGTCACCAAAAAATCGTGGCCATGTTGTGCAGTCTGAAGTAGCAGATGGTGATTGTGAAACTGTAGGACTGTCACAGGCTATGACCCTTGTGACAGAAAATTTAGACAACCTTGACTGCTCTGAACCTGTTGAGGTATATTTATCAACAATATCGTAGAAACTTTTGTCAATCTTCTTCATGATTTGTGACATTAATCTTTTCCGGACTTGTGCCAGGTAAACCATTATGTAGGGACTCAGCCCTACACTCCCATAACAGATTCAGACTCTCATCAGAAATTTATGGATTCAAGATTAGCATCAAGGAGTCCTTTGTCACCTATTGGAGTAGTTAGTTATGGTAACCATCAGTAGCCCATCTATTTAAAAATATACATAATTGAAAACTTGCCTCAATTTATTGTATGTTTACAGGAGAAGAAGAAAAGCATATAGACAGTGATAAAGTGCTGACTCCTTTGAGAACTGTTTCTCTGCAACACCATACTGAAGAAAGTTATTCTCAGTCAATTATTCCTGAGATGTGTTGTAATTCTGCTAGCCAATCTCCACAAAGTCATTTAGACACCTCACCTATCCATGGGATGCACTCAATCATGCATCTCCAAAGTAAAGGACACAAAAAATGGCTGGGAGAAGTCATTGAAGTGGCAGAAGAAGCAGCGGCCGCTGCTATGCGGTTGTCTCCTCGACTTTCTCCCCATTTAAAAAGAGATCATTATGACTTTGATGAAAATAAGGTCAAAGGTAAATTGCAGTACATGGAAACTCCAGCAAGACAGGTGATTTTTTTTTCTACATTTTATACAAAGCTTACATTTTTGAAATGCAAGAAATTGATCATCTGTTAAATTAATCTTATCTTATTTTACAGGATCTGCAGGTGGATTTGGGTGTAGGTCGCAGCAAAACGGCAACTGCCTTAGCCCCATTTCATCATCCTGAGTCTGCCAGTCTACTAGTGGAAGCTGCACTGGATGCTGCCGAAAGAGACATCTGCTGCCCATCTCTATCAACAAAATCATCACCAAATCCAATCAGTCACTCTCCTGAACCTCCCCACTTACCTCAATCTTATATTGTGAGATCTCCACAACAAGAGAGGGCTACAAATGCGTTGTACTATCCTCCTGATACCTCAGCCCAGTCTTCTGATCACTTTATTATGAGTCCTTCTACAGCATCTCAATCACATCTTCACCCACTAGATTCATATAGTATTCCCTCCACTCTAACGGGCCCATCAAGGTTGTATGGTATACAAAACCATCAATTACATCAACAACTGTTGCCTTTACAGGTAATGTACAATAGATATATTCTTTCATGTTATTATTCCTGTTCTTTGTTTAATTCTTAGATTTTCATTTTATTTTTAGGATCAACCATCAAGTGATGATGAAGGTGGTATGGATTTGGACTGCACTTCAAGAGGGGAATGTGCCCAAAATCTTAGTATGAATGTGAAAGAGAAGTTATGTGAACGCCCAGACAATTCATCAATGTATGATGTGAGCTCTCCACATTCTGAATTATCCATTCGTTCTTCAAGTTATGCTGAACATCTATCTCTTCCTCAACAAAACGATCTGGGCTTCTCTGGGACAATGATGGTTGCATCTCCTCGATATCATTTATATGACCTTTCTCCAGATCGTCAGTGCTCTGACGTGTCTGTCACAGATCTTACAATTTCAAACCGCAACATGCCTCAAGAGTATGGATCGTATGAGAATATAGGAGGAAGTGTGGATTTATCTGTTCCCAGAAGTCATGCTTCGGAGGATCAGGCAGATCTTCCTTCTTCCCCATCAAGTTTCAATTCTGGATCAGCACATCACTATTCCACTCCTCATTGTGTACCTCCTTACCCAACTCATCCAATTGTTTATCAGAATTCACCATTACAGAGATCCCATGTTAGTTCCTCTTCGAATAGCCCTAGTGCATCTCCAAGTCCTGGCCCAGCACATTACCATACTTATCCGCCGTACTATTGAAATTTAGGTTTTTGTTATTTCTCTGAAAAGAAAACATTCCAACAAGAGTAGTACCAGAAAAGGTGGGATAGATTTTCACTTATTCAGAAGCATTAGTTTAGGAAGTAACCGCTGTGGTAATAACTACTTATGCTTGCTTGGCTGTTTTCCTATATTTCTCTAAGTACTCCTCCAAAGTTGCAATTCATTTATGCGCATTTAGTTTGTTTCTTGGTCGGAAAACATGCAGTGTTTTCTCAATTTAGACATCATTTGCCCATTAAATCTATTTGATTTATTAATGCTTTCTATTTCTTTTCCTATCTTCTGTCTCATGATTCATCTATAATTTTTAAACATGGCTGTGATTAAATGAAAGTAGTTTTCTGCTTTACATAACTGCACTGATTAATTTTTATTGGCTTAGTTTGCTAGTTTCATTTTTTCATGTTTCAACCTATTGTTGTTTTTTGTTTGTATCTGTGCTTTTATTTTTTGTTAATCGTGGTAAGTGTTTTCTCAGTAACTTTATCATGTTTGTCGTAAAAAGTGTGAACACAAACAAATGGTTTGCAGCTCTAGCGGCCAAGCTTGTTTGATTCTTAAGTGATTTCAATTAGGATTTTATTACTATGTTATTGATATTCATGTATTCTGCTTTAGCTAAGCATTTCCCTTTTTTAAATGTACTCGTAGGCTCTTGCTATTACCAAGTGTTTCGTGCAGTACCTACTAAGTTTGCGTTTGTTTAAAGCTTTAAATCTTATGCATTACTCAAGCTGTGATAATTATGTAGTCTGTTTTATTTTACTTTATTCATCTTGGAGGAAGACATGTATGCAACCCCAACAAATTTTGCATCATAATCAGCATATTGATTCCGTTTTATAATAGAAATGTAAACGTTTAAACAACCAAATGTAGGTGTATATGTAAATCCCCATTCCTTAACACATACTGTACAGTACATGACAAACAGCTATGTTTTTCGTTTTTTTTAAAACGTCAGCAATGGTTTTATTTTATCTTTAATCCTGAAAACTACCAGATTGTCATGCTCTCATTGTGCCATCATTTGGTAAAATAGATTTTTTTTGGTGTGTGAAATAAAAAACCTGTGCCAAATGTGTCTCTGGCTCTTATTTTAAATGTAATCCCTTTCAATATTCTATGCTGTTTTCAATTCAGTTTTACTGTAGGAGGTGGAATTATGGTAGTGGCTTGTTTTTGATCTCATTTACCACAATGTTCATGACCAATTGTATTCTCAGGTGCTACAATAAAATAATATGTTCAAAACCTTATTTTAATTGGGTTGGAAATCATTATCTTAAGTTACACTAGATGTAAAAGTAAAAACAATATGGTGACGATACATACTAGATGTGTACAACTTCATCAGCCTTGTAACAACAGTTTACATAAGTCATTATTAATTATTAATTAGAATTGGCAATATCATTTATGCTACATCAAAGGAAAGAAAAGAAATTATGAAAATAAAAGACTACTTTTATCCACTCAATTTAATTTTGTCCAAGTTTGCTAAACCCATTCCCAGAAACCAGTTTCAAATTTATATCCTGGTGCCAGAGGCAGAGGAACACAAAATAGATTTGAATCTTCTTTAAGTTTAAATATACAAAGAATTTGTGTAACTTACAACAGTTTAAATCATTAGAAATGTGTCTAAAACATCAATCCAGAAAGAATAAACATTATCGCTTTATTTGAACTTTCCTCTTTGAATGAATAGTGCTTGTATGTTCCAATAAATCAGATTCAAAGAAATAAGCCTTATTATCACAGAATGGACAATTGAATTTGGTCGCCAAGTAATGAGTTGTTTTGTAATGACTGTGTAAATTATTTCTGGTTTTAAAAGTTGCTGCACAAAGTTTACACCCGAACGGTTCTAGCCCAGTGTGCGTCCTCATGTGGACGACAAGAGTTTGTTTTTCACCAAAACACATATCACACTGGTCACATTTGTAATCTTTTCGTCCCTGATGGAATGTCTTCACATGATGATTTAAATGGAACTTCTGTTTATATTTTCTTTCACAGAGATCACATTCCCATTTAGCTTCAGGATTTGAAAATTTCCTCACATGAAACATTTTCTTGCATTCATGTTGCATCATTTCAGTTGCACTGTCAAAAAGTTGATTGCATCGTGTACACTTGTGGACTTTTCTTGAAGACCTAACAAAGGTAGAAATATTATTTTAACCAATTTGTAATAGAGAAAGACATACCGTGCATAATAATTAGGTTCAAAACTAACTTTGATTCTTTCCCATCACACACTTTTGTAAGTTTATGTTTCTTTGGGACAAAGTCTGGTTTATCTAAAAAGTGTAAAGAAAATTAAATACATTAATAGAAGTACTTGAAGGATGCAACAGCACAAATTTGCGTGCTATTGATACATGTTCGAGTATTTTCTTTTTTATTTGTATTGCTTACCTTGTTCGTCAAATGAGCTCCTGGAAACAAGATTTACAAATTAAATTTTATTTTAGCTTGATTGTAAAAGGAATTTACTGAGTATTTTAATCTACTTACGAACTAGAATCAGAATCATCCATTCTGTTCAGAACAATCTCTTTCCTACATTGAGAGACAAAAAGAAGAACAACTTTTAGAAGTTATAGGACATTTAAGAGGAATGGGCAGGGCAGTGGAGAATACTTACAGTGTCTTTCCATTTTCCATTGCTTTAGACCTGTTATTTGAAGTTTCAATACCACTCGGTTGTTGAATGCAAGAGTCAGAAGGAAGTCTGGAGTAAATAGAACGGCAAAGGTTTACTTAAGCCTAGCTTAGATTTGGGAAGTAAACAATTAAATTTAGAAAGTTCACCTTGTCATACTTTTCTTTAGATCTTTTCCATCAACCCCTACATCAACTCCTAAAGAATCACTTCTTTTTTGACCAGTTATGTGATGTGAACTGAAATATAACACATATCAACATTAAGTAGAGAGAAAAATGACCTTGGTAACAAAAATACAAACATAGAAACATTGGAAACAACTCAAGCTACTTGTTGCTTGTTGAAGGTTCACAGGACTCTTGATTAGTTAGTTTTGATGAATGGGGAGAGTTACCTCGACCCAACAGTTGATTTTCTCCACTTTCACTGAAAAATAATTGTTAAATCTATAATTTGCGAACAGAAAAGTTAAGTAACCAGAAGATTAACTTCATCTTACCTTGAATCTGATTTGTTTTCTAAAGATATTAATTCGAAGGGCTCACTATGTTGATTTGACTTTTTTGGTGATGTCTTTTTAGATCTGTAACAAGCAAAAAACAAAGTGGAGAGGAGGAGGTCAGAATGCAGAGTAAGAACATTTTAGAAGGATCTGAATGCAACATCTTTTTACTTTTTTTTCACACAGTACAATCTGTCATTGTCACTTTGCTGTGGAGAAGGTTGGAGCTTTTGGGTAAGACCTCTTAAGTTCCCAAGTTTGGGAAGTCTGTTTCCTTCACTATCGCTGAAAAGACATTGCATTTATTTTTAAGAATTAAAAAAAGAATGACGAGTTAAATAAATGGGTACTTACCTGCTACTCTTTGAAGAAACATAGGTGGACTTACTAGAGGATAGTTTCTGACTATGTCTTCGTACATTTCCTCGACTGTAAGATTGCCTTTTTGCAGTATCACTGGCAAGTAATAAGTTAAGTTTCAATAATAATTTGGGAATGAAAGTGCAACAGCAATGAATCATGAATTTAATATGAGATTACCTCATATTTGCTTCATCTTCTGATGATGAGTTGTCAGAAAGGTGGTGAATCTTGTTATATTTTCGGTGTACCGTACTACTTCCCTGAGAAGTACTACATTCTATGTGATTTTTACCTGAAATTTTCAATCAACAAGCTCATTAGGTAAAATTCCAGAAATATTTTAAAATAAAAAGGAGCATTTCCTTTTAAACTTGAAGATTACAAACCAGAGGATGGAATTTGATTGATATCTTCACTAGGCGTTGGCATGGTGAAAGAACCATTTGAGTCACGACTCAGCCTTGACAAAATTATGAAAAATAAGAAAAACGAATAAGTGAGGTGGATTGGTACCAGGGTAACCAGTATTATACAAGAAAGTGGCAAAAACAATACCTGTGCCAGGGTGAGGTAGAAAGGGATGATGAGACATCTTGAGAGCTACCAGATGGCTTATAGAATTTGTCATTTCCCCTTGAATTTTTTAAATCAACCTTGCCATGGCTACTGTTCCCTTCAATATCAGGAGTAGCCTCAACAATAGATTGGTCAGAACTTTCCCCCGTGAAGTCTATGATAGGTATTTGACTAGACATTTGACTAGACAGTTCTTCAGTACATAGTGCTGACTCCTGGCTTGTGCGGGTCTTCTTTCTTTGTCTTGAGGACTTTCGAATCTGCTTGTCTACAATTTTAATGGCTTTATCATCTTTGACGACTGAAATCTCTTGGCTTTCTTTGAATAAATCAACAGAATTATATGTAAGAGGAACTTCTTCGTATAATTCATTATGTTCTGTTTCTGTTTCAACAGTACTATTCATTTTACCTTTAATGCCATCCGCTTTTGATTTGTATCTCTTTGCCAACTTCATTTTTGGTTTTTCTTTTAGATTGTCTGGTGGCTTCTTTAAAATAGTGTCCTGAAAGTCCGTATCTGAATTTTGGCTTGATTCCATTGCTACTATTGTCTTTTTCTTTTTCTTACCTTTACTAAGCATATCCACAGATTTATCTAGAGAAACTGCCATCATAGAGGTTTCTGTTTTTCTTTTCTTCTCATTAAGGTCTAAGTCTTCTTCACACTCTCTTTGTCTCTTTTTCTTTCTTTTCTTCTGGTCTACAATATTTGTAATGCTGTCAGAGAGAGTAGATTCTTGCTCACTATTTTTTTCAGTGGCACATACAGATGCCAGAGTGCGTCTTTGATTTGTTTGAATATATTTATCTTCTGACTCATAAATTGAAGTCTCATCTAGGTTTGATGGAGTTTTACGTTCCTTGCCTGTTACTTTTGATGACAATCCTAATTGTTTCCTTTTCTTCTTTTTGGGATCATCTGGATCATCTTCCTTCAGGGATGCTTTGTTCTTTTCTGTTCCTCTCTCTTGGAGCTGAATAGATTCACTGCACACTCCACATTCACAAGATTTATCCTCAGAAGCAATGGAGGGACCTTTCAGAGTGTTCTCCCTTAATCCCATCTTATGTAAGAATTCCAAGTACACTTTTCTTTTTAATTCGTCATCTCTAGTTATAAAATATTCTGATTCCTCCTTTTTATTTCTTTTCTCTCTCTTCCGTTTCATCTTCTTCTCTTTTTTACAATTTTGCTCTTTCTGCTTCTTTTTCTTTTTTTCTTTCTTTTTCTTTTTCTCCTTTTTACTTTTTTTCTGCTTTTTACTGCCTTTGGTCTCTTGGCTCATCACACTCCCGACTCCTTCGTCAGAAATCTGTGGGCTGCTTACACCTTCTAAAATCACCTCAGAAATTGTATTTTCTTGGGACTCACTCAATCCAGTTTTCAGCAATTCCTGATTTTTGAGATTTGTAGGGCTCCTCTTGTCCAATGTTGAGTCATTCTGATGCTTCTTCTTTTTCTTTGACTTTTCCTTTCTATTGGATTTTGTGCTTCCATCCGAGTCTGGCAAAGAAAATATAAAAGATTCTGATGTTGCATCAGAACACGGCTCTCTAAATTTTGTTTCTTTGGTCGCGGAAATTTGTTCCAATAACCAGTTATGGCTAGTGTGAGCATTATAGATTTTGTTCACTCGGGATCTGACCTTGCCCTCTTTGAGGAATGACGAATGTTTGGAACCTGATTCCATATGTGTGTTTTGGATGTAAGGTACCATGTCAGCTGCCTCAGTTATATCAGATTCAGAGGAGAGACTCATATCATTACTGCTAATATTTTTTGTCAATCTATTAAGGTCTTGTGAACTCTTCTCTTCTACTGCTTTGATGTTTGTACTAACAGAACTATCATCTTCACATGCAGAAAATTTCCACTCTTCATGGTGTCCTTGTAATTGACTGAGTCCATAGTCAGATTCAGAATCCAGTCCAGTAATATCCACAAAGGAATCAGAATTTACATCTTGACCGACACCGGATACATCGGGATCAGCTTCCCATTTTTTCTGCGACAAGGGTTCACCAAAATTGGAATCAGCTTGAGAATTATTCTTTCTTTTCACCATTTGTTCAAACTTGGAAGATCTCATTTTGTCATTCCTTTCCTCAGAATTCTCTTGAAATGCTAAGTCAGGTCCTACATCAGATTCCTCTCCGTCCTTGTTCGTGAACCTGAAGGAGTTTTCCCTTAGCTCATTGTCCATTGCACTATTTTTACGCTTATTTTTCAAATGGCTCTACAGCAGAAAAGATAAAAATAATTTGATAAGAAATATACTCAAATAATAATTTAAAATTGTCCAATTAAAAAGACCTTTAGATAATAAAAAAACAAAAAGCACACTTACGGAGCCTGAGCCATGTTTTTTTTTCTGACGAAGGCTCTCTCCAACTCTTTGATTTTCAATTTTTGTAACTTTCATCTTAATTTAGGGTTACTTGTAAAAGGCTGCTCATCTAGAAAACGGAAGTAACGGTCAGAAACTACATGATAAAAGCCAGACATCAACAAAAATCATAATTTTACAAATACTAAAGTTGGTGTCAATCCGCAAATCTACCTCTACAATAACTACAAACCGGCGATAAAGATCAACGCTCAGAGAGGTTAGTCGTCCGTCGTCCTATCGTCCAAAGATCAGGAGGGGCATTACGGAGCTCCCTGACTTCGGTTCGCCTGCGCCTTCTAAACGCCCTGAAACAGGGTGAGGGGGGTAGAGGGGGGGCACTTAGAAGGCGCAGGCGAATCGCAGTCAGGGAGCTCCGTAATCCCCCTCCAGGAGGAGGCAGAGAGGAGATCTTCTCCTTTGTGTTGCGTCAAGCCGCGAAGACTTGTCGGCGGCCACTCGGCGCACTCGGGCTTCCCGGTCTTCCCCGGGACCAAACGAATTCTTTGGCCAATAAGCCAACAATAAGTGCATCATGGACAATGCATTGTCCTACACATTTCTAGTAAATTTTAAGAGGTTTTTTGTTTTGCATGAAATTTGTTTTCTTTGTCGCGACAGTTGAAAAACTATTCACGATGGGAAACTTCAAAACGCAAAGCGCAAAGCGGGAAGCACCGACCGACGTGTGACTCGTGACCCTCGTGACGTCGTGACGTCCTCCTTGGTTTCTGCCCGGAGCAACAGGTAATTTAGTTGTTGAAGATTTCATTTTATATGTGCAGGACGTGCGTTTCGATGTTCGATACTAGTATTTCTTCGTATTTTTCTGATTGAATTAGATAGTTTTTAATAGCAGGACCAAGAGGAGGTTAGTATCTTTTATTTTCAACTTAGTTTTACTATTTTGCCGTTCATCTTATACGCTGTCACGAGTTAAATATTGTAGTGTTAGAGGTTATTGTGCCCAGTGTTTCACTCATCTAAGTGTCACTACATGTAAACATTTACATAGATCAATATCTAAAAAGTGAATTACCGCTATCAACTTACAGTTGGTTTCGTGGCTACCCGTTGCTGGGAATGTCCTATTATTTGCAGTTTTCTCTCATTCAATACAGACTGTCTACCAGCTGATTTCACAACAGTGCATTGCACTGAGTTGTGTCATTCATTTGAAATGGAAACAGATGCTAGCATTCTAACATCCTGATTTATGGGTGTTACTCTGTGTTCTTGTTTAAATTATGACATAATGATAATTTTATTTTAATCTTCTTACCTTAGCACTACAGACAACGAATTTAGTATATACAGTTATTATTATACAACAGAATCATGAGGGTTGTTGATACTAATAAGCTATGTGAACTACAAAGTAAGCCAGACCATATCAGAAATATCTGCATACTTGCTCATGTCGACCATGGAAAAACTACACTTGCTGATTCACTTGTTGCTAGCAATGGCATTATATCAGCAAGAATGGCTGGCAAATTGAGGTATGAATTTTAATCTTGAATGCCCTATGCTTGCATTTCTTCATGTAATACTGACCATGTATGACGTTAGACAATTTGTTGATGAACTCATCTATACATTTAAAGGTATATGGACAGCAGGAAAGATGAACAAGAAAGAGGAATCACCATGAAAAGTAGTGCAATTTCTCTTTACTGCAATTCAGGTATGGAATTTTTACTCTACCCCTTTTTTGATGCAAAATAAATTGCTGAGCTTGAACAACATTTTTACTGACTCTATTTGTGGACCTTAATGTTTGTTTTTTGTGATTTCTTCTCTGGCATTTATTTAAGACTATTTTCTCACCAGCTAACTCGGAGTATTTAGTGAACTTAATCGACTCACCTGGTCACGTAGATTTTTCTTCAGAAGTATCAACAGCCATTCGACTTTGTGATGGTGCTATTGTTATTGTGGATGTTGTTGAAGGTGTTTGTGCTCAAACCAAGGTATAATTTCTCTATCTAAATGCCACATATAAACTTGTAAATGTGAGATTATTGAATAAAATTTACTCTTTACTGTTTCTTTTTCAGGTGGCTTTAAAACAAGCCTGGATTGAAAATATACAACCTGTGTTGGTGCTCAACAAAATGGATCGCCTGATAACAGAGGTGCAACTGTCACCTCTAGATGCTTATATCCATTTAACTCAAATTTTAGAACAGGTAGTTAATTTTAGAAAGTAGACAGATTATTTTTATCTAGCCTCCATGGTAGATAGTATTTACTCATTGTTTTCTGACACCTGACCTAAGGTAAATGCTGTTCTGGGAGAATTATTCTCCATGGAGGTCCTCAGTAAAACAAGTGCAGAAAATGATCTAGAAGATAACAAAGAGAAAGGGAAAGGAAATGAAGAGTTACATAGTGAAATTGGAGTGAAGGAAGTCTCAGAATGGGCTTCTGGCCTAGATGATGTTGATGATGAAGACTTGTACTTCTCTCCTGAAAAGGGCAATGTAGTGTTTGCCAGTGCTGTTGATGGTTGGGGCTTTCGGTTGGTATTTTATCTTTGTTGTCCTTTTACACTTTTCTGTTTTTCCCCACTAATTTTTCCTATTTATACCATTGTTTAATCTTAAATTAATCTTCTAGGGTCACAGACTTTGCTAAAGTTTTGTCAGCTAAAATGGGCATTAGTGAGATTGTCTTAAATAAGACACTCTGGGGTGACTTTTACCTCAATTCGAAGACAAAACGTATCATGAGGGGTGCACAGGAGAAAGCCAAGAAACCCCTCTTTGTTCAAATGGTACTAGAAAATTTGTGGTCAGTCTATGAAAACATTGTAGTCAGAAAGGTGAGAAATTTTACTGTTGTGCAACAAGTTTATGTTAACCGTGAATTTGAAGAATTACAGGTATTTCAAATTCTCTTGCAGGACAAGGAAAAACTTCAAAAAATTGTGGATAGTTTAAAAATTAAATTAACCACTAGAGATATGCGCCATACAGATGCTAAAGTTCAGTTGCAGGCTGTATGTAGTCAATGGTTGCCTCTAGCATCAGCTGTTCTTGGTAAACTTAGTTCAATTTCTTAGTCGCATGCCTCATTTGAGCTTCGATTGATCAGCTTTTCTGAGCATAGCCCTGTCGCTTTCATTGTTGTTTGGATTATTTTTTATTGTCATCATTGCTTTTAGACATGTGCTGTGAGAAGTTACCATCCCCACTAAAAATGAACGAGGAAAAAGTTGAGAAACTAATGTGCTCCTCTGCCAAAAGATTTGACTCCTTACCTCCGGAAACACAAAAATTGAAGGATCATTTTATTGCCTGTTCTAGTAATGATGAGGACCCTGTTATTGTCTTTATTTCTAAAATGTTTCCAGTAAGTTACAAAATGAATTGATATTGTCCTTTGTATTATGCAGATTGGGAGTTTTACAATCCTGATACATGCTGTTCTAACAAGTGTTTGTCATTCAAAAAAATTAATTTAGGTAGAACAATCACTTTTACCGGAAAATAGACCACAGCCTTTGACTCAAGAGGAAATGGCACTGCGTCGTGAGCAGGCTCGACTGCGACATGCAGAGAGAATGAGTCAGCAAAATGGTTTGTTAAATTATTATCATTGTTAAATGTTGTATCTATCTGAATTTTTTAAGAGAGGCAAATATTTTGTGTATGTTCAGATGCTGCAGCTGGGAGCACAGCAGATATGTCTTTTCCTATCCCGGACACTTCTGTATCTCAAAAGTGTGATGCTCAGGTAACTCCTAGTGTTGAATGTACAAAGGCTCCAGATGAAGATGTTTTTGTTGCATTTGCTCGAGTTTTTAGTGGAAAGATACGAGTTGGCCAAGAATTATTTGTATTGGGACCCAAATACAATCCAACGGCGGTAACAATTAACAAAGTACGTTTACAGTGAAGAAGTGCTGTATTTTAGAGATTAAATGTGTGTTGTACAATATTTTTTAATAGTTTTTTGAAATTCTTATACTTTATCTAGGAACAAAAGGGTGAAGTCATTGTTGACCCAACTCTCACTTTAAAAGATCTAAAACATGGACAACACATCACAAAGATAAAAGTATCTAATCTATATCTTCTTATGGGAAGAGAATTACAGTGTCTTCAGGAGGTACCAGCTGGAAATGTACTTGGTGTGTAGCTGCCTGTTTTTAAAAAATGTACATATGTGGAGCTTATTTATGCCTTTATTGACTTGTTTTGGTCTTGATTTTAGGTATTGGAGGCTTGGAAGAGCATGTTCTTAAGTCGTGTACTTTGTCATCTACCGTAGCTTGTCCATCCTTCACTGAACTACAGCTAATGGCAACACCTATTCTTAGGGTGGCTGTTATGCCAAAACATGCAGCTGATATGCCAGCTCTTGTAAAGGGTCTTCGCTTGTTAAATCAAGCGGATTCCTGTGTGCAAGTTCTTGTCCAGGAAACAGGAGAGCATGTCATTGTAACTGCAGGTGAAGTCCATCTGCAACGCTGTCTAGATGACTTGACGGAGAGGTAAGATTATTGTCTATGGTAATAGTACATATTCTGAAGAGTTATAGGTATGATTTGTTTATATTTTGCTTGATATATTTTTTTTATTTTTTTTTGACAGATATGCTAAAGTTCAAATTAAAGCATCTGAACCAATTGTTCCTTTCCGTGAGACAATTGTGACCCCACCCACTCTTGATATGGTGAATGAAGTCATTCAGGATTCTGTGTCATCTAAAAAGGTAAAACACTTTTTAAAAAGAAATAATTCTTTAAAAGTTTTTATATTTTTAAATTCTGTGTACTTTTGAAAATTTTAGTTTGATTTATCTTTGTTTATATTTTTCTTTTAAGGAGAAAGAAGGTATGATTACAGTGTGGACTGCTAATCAAAAGTGCTGCATCACAATAAATGCAGTCCCCCTCCCTGAAGATGTTGTCAGAATTCTTGAGAATAATACTGATCTCATCAAAACATATGACCAATATATTATGTCCCAGCGCAAACATGGTGATATGGTGTCTTCTATGAAGGCAATGACTTTATCAGATCTTTCTGTTACTGAGGCGATTGTAGAATCAGGAACATCCCTTGAGAACTCTGATGCCACATCTCTCGAAGCAGAGATGGAACAGTTGTCATCATTGACAGATCGTACTTTAAAGGCTATTGAAAAGCTTCAAGAGGATTTGAAGAAAGCATTCGATGATAGTAAACATCCTATGTGGCAAAATGTGGTTGAGAAGATTTGGAGCTTCGGTCCCCGTCGTTTTGGTCCTAACATTCTTATAAACAATATTGATGGACTCCCTTGTTCATTTTGGAACCCTAATTTAGCCACAGAGTGTATAGAATTGAAAGATTTGTTATCAATGGAAAGCAGTTTTGTGAATGGTTTCCAACTGGCCACTCTAGCTGGTCCTCTTTGTGATGAACCGATGATGGGCGTTGCTTTCATTGTGTCAAAATGGGAGCTAAGTTTGTCAAGTCCTGACAGTGAAAGCACAGGGTTAGTCTACAGTATTTGTTTTGCAGTTTATAATTTTCATAATGTGCTTCTAACTTTTAATACCTCAATTTCTGTTTTAAATTATTATTTCAATCCTTTCAGATCCATTGCCTGGGGACCTCTGTCTGGACAAATTATGTCATCTGTGAAGGAGGGATGCAAGAAAGCCTTCCAGGCTCAACCACAACGCTTGATGGCCGCAATGTATAGCTGCAACATCCAGGTCACCGCCGAGGCATTAGGTGAGTGAAATGTGTATTGGGAGATTTTAAATGAACACACTGACATCTACAAAAAGGTGTTTAAATTAAATAAGTTAGGTTTTTATAAATAACAATAAATTATGCAGGTCACACCCTTCTTTTAAGCAATAGCATGAGTTCTAAAATCATTCTATAAGTCTATGATTCAGCGTTTGACAATCCAATCTTAGTAAAAAGCCTATCTTCTCACTTTAACTGGCCGAGACTTTTCAAATTGAGAAACATCACACTAAAGTACTATCAATCCAAATATAATCTAAAACATCTTTCCCATTTTCTACATTAAAATATTTCATGCCACAAAATTTATTAAGATTTCTATGAAGTAGATTTATCAATTCTACTTTAAATTACTATTTCAGATCTTTATCCAATACTGATTTGTTTTGTTTTCCTTAAGGTTAATATTTTTTCTCTCACTGAATACTGCTACATTTGTTGATGGTATAATTTTACAACCCCTAATTGCCTTTTAAGAGGAATGATTTTCAAGATAATTTTTCATTTCTAGTTTTGATTTTTAAGGAAAAAATGGTACATATACACATATATTTGACATGTTTTTAATCAGGAAGCTGTTCCTGTACTATTGATCCATGATTTGGTTCCCAAATCTGTAGTTTCAAAAAATTCAAAGAATTTAGTAATTTTACCATCACAAGCACTTACTTATTAGAAATGATCACAACCCTCATCATGTTTACCACAGTTTTCACTCCCTAGTCGTCAGTCTCATCAACCAACAGCTTAACTCACAATGAACTATGAAAACTAGAACTCTATACGTACACACACACACAGTAAAAGTTTTTGATGCAATTCAAGGAAAAGAAACAATCTCCACTGGGGCAGATAAGTTTTCCTTCTTTAGGTTGAGAAGTACTTGTTAAAAGTGACTGCTGCATTTAGAATTCTATTCAATTTATCAATGACTTCGTCATTGGGTCTAGCAGATTTGGACACTTCTGTGTAGTTATAAATGAGCCTGTTAGTAATCAAAGTCGAATTGAGATTTTCAATCTTAATAAAAGTAGAAAATATTTTACCAGCCTACTTATACCTAGGAGAAGGGACATACATAAGTTAATTAATGCACGGATCTATGAAAGTAGACAACATAATAAAAATTATCCAGAAAAGTACACGCTTTTGTAGGTGAGCACTGCAAACCAGATAAAAAGTCTTTTAATTACTCTTATCTAGTAACTGCTATACTTCTACTATGGCTATGGCTCAAAATACATGTCACCTCAGTGATAAATACTATTAATCTTATCTCAGCATGTCGAAGTGAGATGTTGGTTAAACGCTCTGCAAACTGTCGTCAACCAACATCTTAGTGGCATTGCTTGATCACATTTAGCACTGAGGGAGGTATGCTTCAACCCATTGCCATAAGAAACCTTAGCCTAGAAATAAATAAACAGTTTGTACAGTCTTGTCGGGATCGGATTGCGCGGGTCTCTTCATCCTTTTATCAGATTCATCGCTCGTGCCAGCTCCCAGACTCTGTCCCAGGGGAACGGCGGCAGATCGTTGTACGCTGCAACAGAGACGGCGCAGGTCAGGCACTAGTTCGCCCTCCCGTTGTCGGTGCGTCGCGCCGCTGCGCACACAAACCTTTAGCTGAGCGCGGGTGCCGCGAGCTTCGCGCGTATCTGAGCGGGCGGCCCTTGCGGTTGGAGGTGGACGAGGGCCTCTTGACGCAAACCATGCCGTACACCCGGATGCCAGGCACGCTGGCGTACGTCGGCTGGTCGTGGATGATTGGTCCCTCTGAAAGCAGACGAGAGGTGGTTGTAGCTCGCAGGGCTGCAGGTGTCCGTGTCGTGCGCGCGTCGTGGCGCCTGAGGCGCCTGGCGCCGCGAGCCTCACCTAGCATGTTGGTCCTGGCCGGCGCGCAGCGACAGATGACCAGGTAGTGCGACTTGCCCGTCCTGACGTTCTGCAGCGCGAGCAAGGACCAGTCCTTGGGCGCCTTGCACAGGCGTACCTCGGCAACGGGCTCGCACGTCTTGGCCAGCGTCAGCACCTGCAGCAGGGGAGGAGCCGAAGTTAGTCGCTGTGATCCTCGCCCCGCCCCCTCACGCTACCCAACCACTGCTCGTTTGAGCGAACCGTGAACCGTGCGAAAATAGGCGCCACTCCCGTGCATTGCATTAACTGATTGATTTAACCAGAGAGTCGATCTAGACTGGTAAATAGCGTGACTGCTTCTGGCAAATCCGTTTGGGATGGTATTGATTGGTTGCCCCCTATCGACCATCTGAAAATAATTGTGACGGGAAATAGAAAGTAGGAGAATGGGAAGGGGATGGGCGGGATTTATACCGGAAGCTAGGCCCTCAGGCTGTTACCCACTGGCCAACTTCTCACGACCCTTTAAGCTGTTTATCGGTGGACGACTTTGCCGCCCGGGCTGCTCGAGCCGCGGGGTGCGCTGGCATTTAGCTGGCTTTTAGCTGGTGTTTAGCTGGCGTCGGTGGCGCCCGCTTGTGACGGCCCCACTCGGAAATTGGACATGTAACGGTCATTGATTGGTGGCGTACCTTGCCCCTGGTGGTGCTGGCGAGCTCGGTGGTGTGCAGGTCGTCCGAGTTGAGCGACGCGGAGCAGGGGTCCTGGTGCCTGGACGGGCAGGCGCACAGCGGCTGGGTGTAGTTCAGCCGCACGTACACAGCGTTGCAGACCTACAAGCACGGTTACACGAGGGTAATTTATTTTTTACCCTTGCTCTTGTTATATGGTCTAGTATTTAGGAAAAAGTTTTTATTTTATCACGCGTTTGTCTAGACGGTCTTGTAAAAACGACTCACCTGTTGCACGGCGCACTCGGGCAGGAGGTAGATGTGCTGGTTGTGCGGGTAGTAGTGGTACTTGGTGGGCTTAGTCAGCACGCCTGTCGCCGACTCCCCGCCGGGCAGACTCAGCGTGCCGGGTGTCTGGAAGGCAGGGACGAAGAAAAAGTGCAGAGTTAATTTCCATGAACAAACTGTGAGAGGCGTGGAAAAGACGGATCGAGATCGGCGCGCCGAGGCATTTTTTTTTTGTAGACCGTGACCGTGAGGCTAAAAGAGTAAACTGAGCGTCTTCTGCGCGGGTGGGTCCGGCCGGCACAGCGGGCAGGAGGCGGGGTGGACTACGTCGCCCTGTGAGTAGGCAGCCCAACTGCCACCCCGGTCGGGTGTGGCGCGCGCATGTGTGGTCGGGGGCTCCCCGTTCGGCAGGGCCTCCGCCAGCGCGTCTCGCCTCTCTCGCACCCACAGCCCACTCCAGGCCGCTCCGCCGTGGTCTCATGATGCCCACTTTCCGGCACCCTCGACGGAAAGACAAAGACTCGAAAATGGAGGAAATTTGTTGTCGCTTCCCTCCCCCCCCCCCTCCCTCTCACTAACTTGACATTTTCCGGCGACTACTGCTACTACTTTTGTTCATTTTAGTGTCGTGTCGGATGAAGGTGCACGTAAAAGAAAAAACTCCAAAAAAACACCAACGTTGGAAAGGAAACGCTTTGATTAGTGGATTTCTTTGGTCTTGTTTCGATCGGCGAGCTGCGACCAGCCAGCCGGCAGTCGGGCAGGCTGCGGCGGTGCGGTACTCTGCCAGAAATGTCACCCTCAAGGTGCCCCGAGGAGACGCGCAGGGCTCGGGTGACGCCGCCGCCGCCGCCGTCGCCGCGGGTCACACCCGCTCTCCCGGCTCGCGGGGCGCGCTCGATCGGAACGCCAAAAACGAAGAGCATCCGCACGGCAGTGGGGAATTAAGTGGCGCGAATTGAGTGCCAACCATGACTGACATGGACCCCCTTGCTAGGCCGCCTAACGAGAAAATCTGCTCCGGATACAAGGGCTATTGGCCACTTGGGATGCTCCCAGGCGCGCGGGAGGTCGACGACGAGTGCCTGGCGGGGCTCCAACGCATCGCCCAGTCCAGGCGCTCCCCGGCACCGCAATCGCGGGGTTGTGCGTGGAAACAGGAGGAAGAGACAGTTGCGTGGCTGACCGGTCGGGGGCCCGGTGGCCCCGAGGGGTGGCTGCCGGTGGCTGCAACACTGGCCGGGCTGGCAGCGCGCACGCAAGCGTGTCCCAGCGCCCAGCCGAGGCGTCTTTTTGTGGCTCTTACCGGCTTGGCTCGCTGCTGTTGCTGCTGCCAGGCCGCTAGTTCTGATAGATGCTGTTCGTGTTGACCGGCACGGCCGCGCGCGGTGTGCTCGACGCTCAGCCCCTCGACCGAAGCCGCGCTGCGCTGGGCTGGGCCGCTAGCTTTGGTAGACGCTGTTCGTGTTGACCGGCACGGCCGCGCGCGGTGTGCTCGACGCTCAACCCTCTCCCCTCGACCGGAGCGGGCCGGGCCGGGCCGCTAGCTCTCGTGGACGCTGTTCGACGGCCGCGGCGTGCTCGACGCCCAACTCCCTTCGACCGGAGCCGCCTGTCCGTGCGGAGGCCATGAGGGGCGCGACGGACCTGTGGCCGGCCCATAAGCAAATGACCCATATCCCCCCCTGGTCGCGCTGGTCGCGCCCAGCCGTGCGCGCCCTCGGCAGCTCTCAAGAGCCAGCTGCAGGAGTTTATCGGAAGCACGTGACTGTTGGCGTGACGACCCCCGCCCGCCTCCCTGCCGCTCCCCGCCTCCGTCATGCCCCCCCTGCTGCTGCTGCACTCCGGGCGCACGGCAGAGTGCGGCGGCCGGGCTGCCGCCGGTGCGCTTGCTGCAGCCGCTGCAGCACCGGCTTTGTTTTGTGGCTTTTTGCCGCAAATGAGCGATGGTGCTTGCGCCGGTCCCTGATAGGCTGGGCCCGAGGCCAGAGGCGAGCCTCGCCCGTTCCTTGTCCCCGCACCACCGCCGCCGCCGCACCGGGGCTATTTTGCAACATTCGTTAGTGTGAATGGCTTCCTTCTCTGCCAGCGACTTGTTGCCGGCGCTCATTTAAGGCGGAGATGTAACATTTTTACTGGTGCCTGGAATCCGGGCGCCGCGCCGTGCCGCGCCACGCGATGCAGGCCGTGTATGACCACAAGTGATGGAGTAATTCGAAGCCCAGTCTTGTCGGGGCGTGTCGCGGTAACTCATCTCCGCGCTAAAGGATTCTGCCGCGCTCCGTCCGCACGACACGGGGAGCGACCCGGCCGGACCCGGCGTGCTCCGCAGGCTCCGCAGCAGCTCCACGGCCGGAAATTCATTTCGACCGGCGCAAGATGTTATCGAGCGCCAGCAGCTGTCGCAGCCGATTGCTCTGCTTGTCAGATAGAGGGAGAACAAAAATCTATTACGGTACGTTGGTCAAGCCATAAATTTGGGACCTGATATAAATGGAAAATACAATGCCATTGCAAAATTTCCACTTGGTTCTCCTTTAGGGGTCATGAAGACTCCTGCTCATAACTTTCAATTGCCTTTAATTCCATATCGTTTCGTGAATTTTATGCCTTATATCGCTAACTAGTAAAAAAAATGAAATAAAATAAAAAGATTTGCGGTACATGCTTGTCCTAAAATTATCCATTACTTTTACGACTTTTTCTTATACGGCCTCTCGCTCTGCCCCGGCTCTGCCGCGACAAGTCAGACTCTAGTCAAGAGCTGCGGTCTGACTCCCAGCCGCTGTGATGGCACCTTCATTACGACCCTCTCCGCCCCCCCCCCCATTTCTTTTTTACGCCGCTGCACCGTGTATCGTGTATTGGATGACGACGAGCATGGCTTTCCACCCGGCGGCGCGGCGCGGCGCGGCGCGGCGGGTCCCTCCTCGGCTCGCCATTACAATTACCAGTCGTCATTTATTTCATGAGAAAATATAATCGGCTGTCGCAGCGTTACGTGGAACGCAGCGCGCGAGAAAAGTGTTTCGCCCGAGCGAAGTGTGTGTGTGTTCTGAAGTGTGCCTCCTCCGGCGTCCCTCCTCCCCGCAGGCTCACATAACTTGCGTGTTTTACTGATCCGCGGGGGAATGGTATACGGAATGGACCCGTCGCGGGGACTCCATCTCTCTGTTGGTGACGGGCCTCGGAATTGATTTTTGAAAATGTGCGACCCGTTTGGTCTCCCATTCCCACGGCGCGGTGGTGTGGTTCGCTCGCTCGCGCGCACGCCGCGCGACATCTGCGTGGCGCCTCTTCTAATCCGGGTCGGGGGACGCGGCGGGACGGGACGCACGCGGGGCACGATTTCGTAGAAAGGCGATAAATAACACCAGCTGTATCAAAGGAAAGGAGAAGAGAAAAAAATCTGCGTAGCAAGCAGTTGGCTGAATCTCCCCCGCCCCCTCTGTCTCTCGATCCCTTCTACCTTCTCTTTCCATTCCCCCCCAGTCAGCGCCTTTGACCCCGGAATCCCTTTACACCCAAGTTGTTGGCACGAAGTGCGATGCCTCTTGTTCGTTTTTGTTTTTTTCGTGACTCCTTTTGCACACGTCTCCACTCGAAAACAACAACGACAAAAAAGGTGAAAAAATCTCGGTGTCGATACGGGCGGCGCTTTCGGAAACTTTCCTCTCTCTCTCTCCTCTCTCTGCGCGTGGCGGCGCGTGGCGGAACATCAGCACCTCACCACAACGCAGCCTAGGTGCCAGCCCGCGGCGGCGGGGGCGGGGCGGGGCGGACTTCCCCGTCGAATCGACCGACGGACAGGCCGGCCGGACGCGCGGGCTTAAAAACGCTGTAACAACTGTCGGCGTCGCCGCCCCCCTCCTCGGCCCCCCTCGGCCCTTGGTTTGTCACGCGGGGAAGGACATCGCGGCTGGTATGCAGCGGGCGGAGGAATGCGGCGGACGCGTTTGTGGCGCCGCGCGGTGGCGCCGCCGCCGCCGCCGCGCCCGCGGGCCACGCTCGGCCGCGCGCCGGTGCGTACCCTATGCGAGCCCCGCGCCGCCCCGCCCCGCCCCGCGAGGAGACATGAGGAGCAGCCAGGGAATGGATGCGGTGCCGCGCAGGCCTCGCTTCACTTTCTCTGCTCGTCATCTGTTGTCCGTCCGACCGGCCCGTCCCGTCGGCCGTCAGGACCGCGTCAAGGGACCGGCCTTCGTACAAATCACATGATAATATGCGGCGGCCGGCGCAGTGAGAGTCGTACGTGTCGGGGCGCGGCGGCAGCGACAGCGCGGCGCGTAACGCCAGTGGCGCCCCGCCCCACCCCGCCTCGTGTGTGTGATTGCGGTCGTTCGGTTCGCACGTTTGCTCTGCAGCCGGTACCCTTTTTCAGCTGCCGCTGCCGCCGCCGCCGCCGCTCCGAGAGCCGAGCAGCTGATTTACATATCGTTTCGATGACGGCCGCGTTTTGCACGCCGCTCGCAAATCATTGAAATATCACCCGGCGAGGCGGGCGGGGAAGCTTTATGCAGTGCAGCTGCGGTTGCACCTCGCCTCATCCCTCCCTCCTTCCTCTTACCTCCTTCATCTTTCCCTCTCTCTCTCTCTCCTACGGTGACGGTAGCCCTTCGGCCGCCGCCGCCTTCCGTTCGCTCCTTTTTGTACAGTTTCGCGCCCGAACAAGCGCACCTAAATCAGACTCGGCGACTGCTTCCTGAATAACCACCCGCCTTTCTCTCTCTGTCTCTCCCTCTAGCTCCTCTCTGCTCGCCGTCACTTTCGTGGAGGAGCGAGAGAGAAGCTTGTCGGCTGCTCTTGGGACGCGCGCCCCTGCGGCATTTGCATGCAAGAGAGGGCGCGCGAGGGGCACAAATGCAAATTTTAACTTGTGGCGGGAAGAATCAAGCAGTCGGAACGAACGTATCATCGGCGCCGCGTCGAACCCAGGCGGCTGGAAGGAGACGACACAGGCGGGACCAGAAACCAAACCGATTTTTATTCAACTTAATCCACCGGAAGAAAAAACTTTAGTGACTGAAAGCATGTTATTATTGTCTCTTCTGCAATAACTTTTTTTTTGCAGTCACGAACTTCACGCATTACCGGCGCATTTCTTTTCTATTTATAGTTCTTTATTT